TTAAGGCGGTGTAACACATTCAGACTTTAAGGCGGTGTAACACATTCAGACTTTAAGGCGGTGTAACACATTCAGACTTTAAGGCGGTGTAACACATTCAGACTTTAAGGCGGTGTAACACATTCAGACTTTAAGGCGGTGTAACACATTCAGACTTTAAGGCGGTGTAACACATTCAGACTTTAAGGCGGTGTAACACATTCAGACTTTAAGGCGGTGTAACACATTCAGACTTTAAGGCGGTGTAACACATTCAGACTTTAAGGCGGTGTAACACATTCAGACTTTAAGGCGGTGTAACACATTCAGACTTTAAGGCGGTGTAACACATTCAGACTTTAAGGCGGTGTAACACATTCAGACTTTAAGGCGGTGTAACACATTCAGACTTTAAGGCGGTGTAACACATCTAGTTCTGGCTCTGGGAGTCGTTATGCAATAATTGTAATTTTGTCCTACCTGCTTTACGTAATCAGATCACAGCATCGCTGACCTGACATGTAATAAGATAATTAGGCCAGGAATTATGTTACTGACGGGAAGTGACGTCACAGATTTGCATGTCCCCCTAGGAATCAAGTCTCCGAGAACGGTTGAACGTTGCATAACACGACGGAGTTGGTTTACTATTGTCGAGTGGGGTTTTTTGTGACTATATAATATTGTATGTGTAATTTCTTAGTGGCTAGCTAGATCTAGGCTTATATCTTAGTGGCTAGCTAGGTCTAGGCTTATATCTTAGTGGCTAGCTAGGTCTAGGCTTATATCTTAGTGGCTAGCTTCGTATAGTACTATATTATACCAACTAGATGAGGGTATATCATAGAGGCTAGCTAAGTGTATTAAATGCAGAGTTTCTTCCAGGCATCTCTTCCCCCCACCCCCGAAAAAAGTCTACCCCCCCCCCCCCCCGAACGAAATGAAATTTATATAGAAAATGTATACTTTTAACAGTGTCTGCCCCCCCCCCCCCCACCAAAGAAAGTCTACCGCCCCCCCCCCCCCCGGAGAAAAAAGTCTGGAAGAAACACTGATTAAAAGCGGCAGCCACAAGGTATATATTATAGCTGCAGCTAAAAGTCAAACAAACGACGTCATAAACGACAGCTATCGTATTCGTATAATGTCCCAATTTACGTTGTTGTTATGTAAAGGCTGATTTATTACAGGCCTTATTGAATCATTGGTAGATAAAGTATGGATAAAGTATGCATGCGAAATGCGTCTAATCTGCTTGAAATTAGAATTATCGAGTTATCAACACATGTATTTATCTTTTATGTTGCTGTTGTTATTCGTTATCCTGCCTCCTATTGTATCCTCCTGTCCTCATTTCTATTCTAATCCCATGTTCGTCCCTTAATTTCGGTCCTAATCATATGCCCCATCTCTCTCTCTCTCTCTCTCTTTCTCTCTCTCTCTCTCTCTCTCTCTCTCTCTCTCTCTCTCTCTCTCTCTCTCTCTCGATCTTTGTCATCCCATCTCCATCCTCGCCCCTCTCGTACTTCCTCTCTCCATCCTCATCCCTTTCTCTACTCTCTTTCCCTCTCTCCACTTCCCTCATCTCTAGATTCTCATCCACTTTTCCATCCCTTGTCCTATCATTATTCTGTCCTTCATTGTCCTTCCCTTTTCTCTTTCCGGGATTAGACTACCACCCCCCACTCCACCCCACTAATCTTACAACCACCTACACTTCTCCTCTCTACCCCTCACACCTTCTCTCACTCTCCCGTCTCTCTAATGAGGCAATTCTCTCGGGACCGGCTGTTGATGTCAACAAAACCGGCAGACAAGGGAGATAACACAGCTCACATTTCTCCCCACACTTATTCCCCCTTAACCACCACCACCACCACACCACCACCACCACCACCACTACTACTACCACCACCACCACCACCACCACCACCACCACCACAGAAAAAGAATTGAGCTCCCGATGGAAATATAGCAATGATAAAAAGTGTCTTTGGGTGCTAGAGCCCCAGCCGCCCTAACGAACCCTTTCCCATTTATCTGTCGCTGTTGTACGTTGGGCAAACAAATTCGCACGCTTTGTTATTTATGTATGTTAATCAGCGATGATCAAAGCGAATTTGTATTAAAATAAAAATTGCTACATGGGTCTCGATAAAGTCATTATAATTTGATGTTATCGGTTAATGTGTCCTTGTTTGTCCTCATCGTTTATAGTTGTCTATAGCTGTCACCATTGTAAATATTATGTGTATCATCTGTCGTTATCGTTTTTCGTTCTTACTTGAAGATATCGTTAACACATACACGATGTATTATCTTACGGCTAGGTATCGAGGTTAGGTATCGAGTTTTGTAAATAGTTGTTTGTATCGAGGTTAAGTATCGAGGTTAGGTATCGACGTTAGGTATCGAGGCTAGGTATCGAGGTTAGGTATCGAGGATAGGTATCGAGGCTAGGTATGGAGGTTAAGTATCGAGGTTAGGTATCGAGGTTAAGTATCGAGGTTAAGTATCGAGGTTAGGTATCGAGGTTAAGAATCTATATGAGATATCGAGTTTTTGAATCGAGGTTAGGTCTCAAGAAGGACAATGTTTCTCTAGCTAACCAATCAATACTAGTTACGATATTTTTTTCAACACAACAAAATGAGTAGGATAGGTGTGGAACTGGAACAGGTAACTCTAATATCAGACAACTATTGTATATAACAAAATTAATCTCTCCACGTCCGCACTACCCTCCCTCCCCCACCATAAAATTAAAACTTTTCCGTCAACCAATTCCCATGAAGAAAACAAACGCAGGAAACTCACCTAAATTGCAGACCGCTGGCATGTTTGAAAAAAAAAAAAGAATAAAGATCGAAAAAAAAAATTATTGAAAGTTTAAAAAGAAAATCTTGCGGCAGAGTTAAAATAAAACATTAAAAATGTTGATGGAAAACCCAGTCGATTTTTTAATCACAAAAAAGGAAGTGTACTTTAAAGTTTGAATGCTACATGGTCATGTGATTAAAGTGGAGTTTGGAGAACACAAAATATTTTTTATATATTTTTTCTTTTTTTTCTCATTGGAATTAGTCATTATAAACTAGAGAGAGAATGCCGGGTACTTGATATAGCTGAATAGATTAAATGTGTAGCGTAGACCTGTCCGAAATCCTCCATACCAGCGAGTCACCGGCTTCATCGACCAACACAGGGACTAAGACATTCACAGCCCCGCGAAAACAGAAGTTGGGGAGAGTTAGGGCGCTTGTGTGTATGTATGTATAGGAAGGGATGGAAGGGTAAGTGTGACGACCACTGGGCTAATGTGACGACGGAAGGTGGGCGTGACAAGTGAAGGGTAATTATGACAGCCGAAGGCTAAGTGTGATACATTAAGGGTAAGTGTGGTACATTATGGGTAAGTGTGGTAATAAGTTTACCCTTTAGAAACTCACGGTCCTTAGTGCAAATGAAGTAGAGTTCATCTGTAAATGTGATTTCCAGACGGTGCGGTCAGTTCTTCGCTCGAACACTTTTATTTTCTTTAATACATGTCAGGTACGCATTAAAGCTGGGTGAACTCAAGGACTAAGTGTTATATCTGACGGGTAAGTGGGTGACACCATCTGCATGTAGCTTGAATTATAAGTACTGATTAAAATATTTGTATTCATATTTTATTTAGACGACAACCATATTGTTTCGCTTAGGCGGCAGGAAATTGATACGACACCCATATGAACTCTGACCTTTTATGATTAGCATTCTTAGCTCTTAATATAAGTTTAGAGGTTTGGACGAAGCCATCTTGTACATACTGTTCTAGAGTCTTGTTGCTAACAATGCTTCATACACCCGCTCAATGACGTCATTCCAAAGGTCAAAAACCCTTGAGAAATTGTAGCGAGCTGCTGTATACAACTATTCCGTGGCTCGCTAGGCAAACACACAACTGGTATCGATACTGTTTATCGTGTTGACGTCTGTAAACCACGATACTTGACCCACGATACTTGACCCCTTTGTATTGGTTTGATGAAAAGATAACAATCTGATAATTGCCAGTGTTGATTGGGTCGGGGGTGCCAAAGCATAACAAGAAATTTAGTGCCGCGACCAATCTGGTTATTCCCCTTGATGATTGGCTCCTGGGACCCCAAACATAGCACAAACCCCTGGTCTACGAGTACCAAATATCGGCTACTCAAAAGCGACATCAGGTATGCGATTAAAAATGTCGGTTAATGGGACTCAAACTATTAACTCAACATTAAATCCGCGAATAAAATATACGCTGTTCATGTTTATCGATAGGTTTAATAGCAGGTTTAGCATTAGGTTTGGCAGTAGTTTTAATAGTAGGTTGATTAGTAGGTTTAACAGCAGATGCAACTATTGGTTTAAAAGTGGATTTATTGGAAGGTTTAGCGCTATGTTAAACTGTAGGTTTAAATCTTTTCTTCTACCGTCTATAGAAGTCAGACAAGAAAATAGTAAAATCTACTGATGCTGAATAAATGGAAACTGAAAGGTGTTTACCATATACTAACAAGGTTACAGCGCTCACTTAGCTAATACTAAAAGGATTGCTAGTGTACTAATAGTTGATATGTATTAATTGTTGTTGGTATACTAGTGATTGCGAGTGTAATAATGTGTACTAATAATTTAATGTTTTTAAATGACTTACAATAGCTAGTATTTAATTAACAAGTTACTAGACGTATTTAAATTTTCCACGCTCTAGAGTCTGATTTTTAACAACACACTCTAGAATCTGATATCTAACAACACACTCTAGAATCTGATATCTAACGAATGACATTTAGAACACTCCAACTGTAGTATTAGACCCTGTCGCAATATAATGTAGAATATGTCATTGTATTTGTTTTAGTGTCATTTAGTTCGATTATTTTTTAAAAAGTTATTAAAAGCATTAGGACATGTATTTTCTGTGAACCAGTTCAAATAGTCTTAGTACTACAAACCCCAGGTAAAACGTGTTCCCGATTTGACAACCTTACCTGTAGAGCTTCCTCTATCCTAATGGCCTGTTGCAGGGATTCGAACTCCGTGTCCGAGACAGATCCTTCCTTCTGGGCCAGTGTGGCCTCGTTCAACGCGTCCGTCAGCACGTCGTTCTCTAGATCTTCCAACTTGGCCACCATCTTAAGACGGTCCACCTCGTCTTGTAGCTCAAGAATCTTGGCCACGAACACGTCGATGTGGGGAGCGCTGGGCTCCACATCAAACACGCCGTCTTTATCGTAACTCCTGCCTATGTCGTTGACGCCCAGCACTTTGATGGGGAGTTGGTTCATCGAGTCGGACTCTCGCTTTACAGTTCTCTTTTTTCTCTCATTATTGCCGAGATATTTGTTCATCACCCAGTACCGTTCTAACGTCGCTATATTTTTATCGTTGAATTCATCTTCAAGTTCTTGTTTTTCAGCTTCGATTGATTCCTTCATCGCTTCTTCTGTGATTTCAGCTTCTAGCTCCGTAGCTAAAGCGTTGCTGAGTTCTTTTTCAGCTTCTTTGATTTCCTTACTCTCTGCCTGCCCTCCTGTCGGTACTAAATCCTCCTCGATAAATTGTTCAGTTTTTGTGCCTTTTGGACTCTCAACGATGACATCGGTTTCCTTGACGATTGGCTTCACCGTTTCCTCAAAAACAGTTTTCAATTCGTCGTTGCTTGCAGGCTGAACGACCGACACTACCTGCGTAGGTTCCTTCTCGACTTTTTCAATAATCGTCACCTTTTCCTCACCGTCGGCTTTCTTGTCGCTTATTTTAGACGCTTGTTTCTGGAGCTTACTCACAGCTTTCATCAGAGTTTTAAACTCTTCTTTCGTCAAGGAATCGAGTGAAATGTTATCGTCGTCTTCCTTTATCATGGCGTTTGCTGCTGATACGATGGCGGACATTTCAGTGCCCACAGACTTTTTCTGGACAATTTTCTTGTCGCCTTTCACCTCCAACATCTCTTCTTTCTTCTTCTTCTCCGGTAAGTCATCGAAGGCCGGCTTGACCTTTGGGGAATCTTCAGAGCTGAAGATGTCCTCAAGTTCCTTGCGTGATGGCTCCACCGACAGAGGCTGGGCTGGGAGGTTGTCTGAGGGCAGCAGGTAGTTCCCGCGGGGGTCAAACTCCTTGAAACTTCCCTCAGAGACCCATAGGGGGTCAATGTACACGTCATCCTGGGGGTCGCGCTCACGTGAGCGGCTCAACCAGTCCGTGACGTCATCGATGGACAGGGGTCGGCTGCCGAGGCCCCGCCCCACGTCCACGTGACCGGCCCGCCGTCGCTGACGTTGGAGGATGGCGAGGGCGTCGGCCAGGTCGGTGCTGCGCTCGTGTCGGCTGCTGATGGTGAAGGAGATCACGTGGTCAGTGGTCAGCAGAAGCGAAAACACCACTACTAGCATGGAGAGGTCCATTGTCTAGTGTCTAGCTCCTGGAGATACACAATTTAAACAGTTGGATTATATTGGTTTCATCATTAAGCAAAAATGTAATGACTGTTAAGTTGGATGGGAGAAAGGAAACTAAACATGAGTTTTATCGTGACAGTTCAAAGGTTTTGTTTGAACATATTTATATCTATAGAAAACATTGTTAGATGTCTTCTCATTTATCGAACAATCTAAAGAACATTACCATAGATCTGACAACATTACTAGAAAACAGACTTTCAATTTTAATGAAAACGAAATGTGTATTTTACTGTTCGCTTAATGTATAATGAAGTCAGACGCGTTGGAAAATGAGCTTAATTTTAAAAAAATAGATTTATTAGAGTAGGATCTGTGATGTGTGGTAACAGTATTGACATATAATAAGGGTGTTAGGGGACGATGGGGGGGGGTGTTAAGGGACGATAGGGTGGGGGGAGAGGATGATGGATGGGGATGTGAGCATGTGTTAGGTCTACACTGCTCTCAACAGACGTGCAGCAAGTGTTTGCCTATGTGGCCGCTGATTATAGTTTCAAAAAATTATCCTTGGTAAATGTAAGTTAAAATAAAACTGCATGTCGGTTGTTTTAAACGTTCCTTTCTGCTGTTGATGATGTACGAAGCCGTCTCATCCATTGTAGGGTTCGTGTGACTGTGTTGTGGTGTTCGTGGGACTATGGTGTGGTGTGACTGTGGTGTGGTGTGACTGCGGTGTTCGTGTGTCTGTGGTGTGATGTGGTGTGAATGTGGTGTGGTGTTCGTTTGACTGTAGTGTGGTGTTATGTGACTGTAGTGTAGTGTTCATGTGACTGTAGTGTGGTGTTCGTGTGAATGTGGTGTTAGTGTGAATGTGGTGTGACTGTGGTGTGACTGTGGTGTGTTGTGGTGTGTTGGTGTTCGTGTGACTGGGTGTGTTGTGGTGCTCGTGTGTCTATGGTGTGGTGTTCGTGTGACTGTAGTGTGGTGTTCGTGTGAATGTGGTGTGGTGTTTGTGTGACTGTGGTGTTCGTGTGACTGTGGTGTGGTGTGGCTGTGACTGTGGTGTGACTGTGGTGTGGTGTGACTGTGGTTTGGTGTTCGTTTGACTGTAGTGTGGTGTTCATGTGACTGTAGTGTGGTGTTCATGTGACTGTAGTGTGGTGTTCATGTGACTGTAGTGTGGTGTTCATGTGACTGTAGTGTGGTGTTCGTGTGTCTGTGGTGTGGTGTGGTGTGGCTGCGTGTTCGTGTGACTGTGGTGTGGTGTGGCTGTGGTGCTCGTGTGACTGTAGTGTGGTGTGGTGTTCGTGTGACTGTGGTGTGGTGTGAATGTGGTGTGATGTTCGTGCGACTGTGGTGTGGTGTGACTGTGCTGTGGTGTTCGTGTGACTGTAGTGTGGTGTGGTGTAAATGTAGTGTTCGTGTGACTGTGGTGTGATGTGGCTGTGACTGTGGTGTGGTGTGGCTGTGGTGTTCGTGTGACTGTAGTGTGGTGTGGCTGTGGTGTTCGTGTGACTGTGGTGTGGTGTGATGTGGCTGTGACTGTGGTGTGGTGTGGCTGTGGTGTTCGTGTGACTGTGGTGTGGTGTGATGTGGCTGTGACTGTGGTGTGGTGTGGCTGTGGTGTTCGTGTGACTGTAGTGTGGTGTGGCTGTGGTGTTCGTGTGGCTGTGGTGTTCGTGTGACTGTGGTGTGATGTGGCTGTGACTGTGGTGTGGTGTGGCTGTGGTGTTCGTGTGACTGTAGTGTGGTGTGGCTGTGGTGTTCGTGTGGCTGTGGTGTTTGTGTGACTGTGGTGTGGTGTGATGTGGCTGTGACTGTGACTGTGGTGTGATGTGGCTGTGACTGTGGTGTGGTGTGGCTGTGGTGTTCGTGTGACTGTAGTGTGGTGTGGCTGTGGTGTTCGTGTGACTGTGGTGTGGTGTGATGTGGCTGTGACTGTGACTGTGGTGTGGTGTGACTGTGGTTTGGTGTTCGTTTGACTGTAGTGTGGTGTTCATGTGACTGTAGTGTGGTGTTCATGTGACTGTAGTGTGGTGTTCGTGTGACTGTGGTGTGGTGTGATGTGGCTGTGACTGTGGTGTGGTGTGGTGTGGTGTTCGTGTGACTGTAGAGTTAGCCAGCCTAGTTACGTGACGACTAGCTGGCAGACGGTAATGGGGTCCTGGGGTGTCTGGAGTAGCTACGTCACGGCGTCCAGCAGGGGGTGGGGCACGTGAACCTGACGGCTGATGACGTGTTTAATTGGTCGTCCGGCTCATGACGTCACGGGATAAGATGGAGACTAAAAGCTCGGACATCTGGCGTTGACGGAAGTATGTGTGTGTGTGGGGGGTGATTGTGGGGGGATGATTGTGTGCAGATTGTGTGGAGGTTCAACATGGATTTGACATACTCCATCAGCGTCTAATGCCCAGTCGTGTGAGTGGGGCTAAGGGGGTGGGGCAGGGTATCAATTTGGTTTACCCTACAGTTAAGTGGCGTTCGTGCAGCGAGGTTTTAATATTGTATGAGGTTAATTATTGAATTATAATCGATTGTTACGGCAATTCAGTATGGATTGTCCCACCCAGATAAATAGGTGAATGGCAAAAAAAAAAAAAAACAGAAAAAAATGTCCATAATTCAGCTGAATTTAACTTGCCCTTATCAATAATTCAGTTGAATTTAACTAGATCCTCTCAATAATTCAGCTGAATTTAACTAGATCCCCTCAATAATTCAGTTGAATTTAACTAGATCCTTTCAATAATTGAACTGAATTGCGCTTTCCTCGGTCAATATTAATAGACAGGCTATCCCGTGTCATCTATTTATAGTTTTCTCCTGGTGTATAATTAATGGCACGCTTCATTAGTCCACAGACACTGGCATATAATGGTTTTAATTATTTTCAAAAGGTGTTGATGTGGTAACCTAGTAAGTATGGCGTGTGGTCGGGGTGTTAATTAGATTGATCAGTTATAGACAATTAGTCCAAGTTTCTAGTGGATTTTTGAAAATACTACTATAAATAAAAGCATTTTTTTTTTAAAAAGTTAAGCTGATTTAAACACTAGAATAACTAAACTCGTCAATTTTAATAAGTCGAACTGATTTTCAGAACCAGTTTGATTGTAGATAAAATATCAACAATTAAAAACGAAGCACATTGACAAATATATTTAAATTCAATTCAATTTATTCAAAAAACGGTTTAAATTTTAAATAAAGGATGCAATATATTTTACAAAACTTCGTCCAAAGTATTGACAATGTTGCGTAATTTAACTAGCTATTAAAAGACTGAACGTCTAAAATCTAACCAAAGGACGAGATTTCAAAGACGTTTTGAAAGATTATGTGAGATCTAACACATTTTATTATGAGAGTTTTAATCACGTCAAGATTTATGTGTGAAATATCAGGTGTGCCACATCAATTCGACCACACCAAAAAAAAAAGTTTTTGATATTTCACTTCTCAATGTATTCATGTAATAGGGGTATATATTATACTGCCCAGATTTTCTCAATGTATTCAGTTAATAAGGGTCTATAATACTGTCCAGACTTTTATTCATGGACTATGGGTCAGTGAAAACTACTCAGCACAGTGACGTCAGTGGGACGTCAAGATGGGATGTGATACGGTCTCTATATACTGACGTGTAAGCCAATGTAAGGGCTGATCTATGGCGCGCACACATACAAGACAGAATGATTAGCCTACAGTGTAATACGTAATTTTTTTACCAAATTTGTCATTTGTTTTGTTTTATTTCTTTGTTTTTTTTTTATTGTCATTAGTCTTTAGTTTTGTGGGATACTGACTTTTTAGCGCAATTTCCATACGGACAATTGCGATTATTAACTCGTCAAGGATGGATGTGTGTCCGATGTGTGTCCGCAGGTTTAAGTCGTATCTCCTCCTCAACGAAGCAATATCGAGGACTAGTTCCAAAAGCACATATGTTAAGCAAGTTCCGAGGATGATTGTGGGCCAAAACAATTCCCGGAATTCCTTCCTGGATTTCCCGGAAAAGCCAAAAAAACCTCGAAAAAAATACAGTTTTTGGACCATAACTCGGCAACCAGACCACTTAGCGACTTGAAACATTTACCAATCGAATCCTGCCATAATTTTGAACAATATTGCCGAAGAAAGTTTTGAAAAATATCCTTTCGTTCGGTCACAAAAAATTAATTACTACTTTTTTAAACTGAGCATCGTGTAGGCCTAGGATATTTTTTTTTAAAACTGAGTATCGTGTAGGCCTACTCGTTAAAATAAAACTATTTCCGTTGATATAGGTTAATATAGTTGTCTTTTTTTAGCGCAAAAAATATCCTTTCGTTCGGTCACATAAAATTAAAAATTGTTATGGATAACATAAGGAAATTGCGCTTAAATTGTTTTTAAGCTTAACATAATAATTTTTCATATTTTATTCGGTAAATGATTTAAAATATCTTTTTACTTTTATACGGTTTATAGTTTTATTGCTGTGTTATAGATTAAAATGTTTAAAATGCTTGAAAAATGTCCTTTTAGTTTGATATTCTGTGAAAAAACTTTAAACTAGTCTAGTAGCTTGTGTTGTGTGTGAAAGACTAAAGCTAACGCCGGCTACATTAAAAGGTGTAGCTGAGTCTTTTGTTTGATGTCGTAAAATCGATTGTCCCCCTGAGAAAATGGATTCTTTCCCTTGGTCGTATAATTACAATCCTAGTCCAGATAAAGACGGGTTAAGTCCCTTGGTTAGTGCTGGGTCCAATACAAGTAGGGTGTTGTGTAGAAGTTTCTAGATACACCACTCTAAACGGTGGGGGTATGAATGGGTTTAATACTTCCTACTAGGTATCATTACAGTATATAAGTTGTTTTCTGTATATGGCAAAGCACATTTTAAAAATATAACTGCCGTTTTGATGTTCAGAAAAAAGCAAATATGAAATTATCTCATTTTTTGGCGTTTATTTAAATTTTTTTAAAACATAGAGGTGAATAGTTCCTAGAATGCTTTATGAGAATATAATAT